ACTTCATTCGGAGTGAAGTGTTTTATGGGCAGGTCCATTTGACATGGAACATCTAAAAATTCACTTATTTCGTTGTGTTCTTCGATACTATTAATCTTATAAGGTTTAAAAATATTTGATAGATAAAGAGCAAATGCTTCTGATGTGCTTTTATCTGTTTTGCACCAACTGCAATCTGTGTTCTTGATCATTGTTTTACGTTTTGTTGGCCTCTTTAAGAACTTAGTAGATTTCCACAGAAGATGTTCGTCATATTTTGAGTTGTTGATTTTGTCGATTAATTCTGCAGTAGCATTGTTTTTTTGTTCATATAGTAATTTTTTCAGGTCTTTACATGCTTTGTTAAACAGTCTCTTGTCCAAGGGATTTCTACTTATTTTCCAAATTCTACGTAGTCTTCTTTTTTCTCTTATAGACTGTCTTATTTCTGTTGATACTTGCATACGATTCGTTTGAACTCTAGGATTGGTATGTGTTGCAAAATTAGCAGCTTCATGGATGAGATTCGTAAAATGTTCTACTGCATCATCTATTTCTCTATCGGTTTTTAATCGCGTATTTAAATTAATGTTCTGATCAAGCCAGCGTTGGAATGATTGAATGTTAGTTTGTGATGTTATTATGTTGTTATCAAAGGACCTTAAATTTACATTTGTATTATAATTGATAAGTAAAGGAGAATGATCGGAGCTTAGGTCATCAAGATCTTTTATTTCCAATTGATTGCTTGGTATCCCTGAATAGACAGCAAAATCCAACAAGTCCGGAAGTTTTCGTGGGTCTGATGGCCAATATGTAGGGGATCCAGAGGACAGTACTGAATAGTTATTATTTCTTAAACATTTATACAATTCTTTTCCCTTTGGATTTGAAAGTCGTGATCCCCACCATGGATGCTTAGCGTTAAAATCACCTCCAACAATAAATCTTTGACCCAGTGTACCAAAAAACCGATTATAATCTAAACATGTTACAGTATGTCGCGGAGGAAAATATATTGAGCTAATAATAATATCATAATTATTACACTTTACTTTAATATTAGTTGCTTGCAGGAAGTTTTCTTTAATTTCACTCAATACATCATATTTTATTGAGGATTTTATTAGGATGCACGAACCTGCGTGTGCACGATTATCTGGATGGTTTGTGTTAACTAATTCATATCCTCTAATATGAAAATAAGTTCTGCTCGTAAAATGAGTTTCTGAAACTAAAAGTATATCGATATAGTTGTTATTAAGGAAGATTTCTATTTCTCGGATATGGTTGGAAAGTCCGTTTGCATTCCATATTGCTATACGTAGATTTAATTGCATAGTTTCGTTAAAAGTGTAGACATCATGTTTAATAGAGTGGTGGTAGTTTCAATCTGTTTTTCCATTAGTGCTTCTATTCTTTGGAAAGAAGTAGATAGATTTTCGTATTGATTGCTGTTATTTTTAACAGCTTGAGAATAAGAGTATTGATATGTGTTATGATTGTGATCATTGTAACTACTATTTATTCCATGATTACCATTAATATTTGGAAAATTTTGAGAATTAATGTTAAATTCTGGTTCTTGATCAGTATAATAGTTATTATTACGTTTTTTAATAAAATTTCTTTTCTTTAGGAGTTCCTTGTAAATTGTACATCCTCTATAGTTAGCAGTGTGTGCTTGTAAACAATTAGAGCATTGTGGGGGAGTATTTTCATCTTTTTTGCATTCAATTGTATGGTGATTTAAGCCGCATTTGACGCATTTAAATATCTTTCTACAATATGTTTTAGTGTGGCCAAATTGTTGGCATCTATAACATTGTACGATGTCATTGTTTTTCAGGGGTGGTTCAATTTTAACCATTGCATTAAAAAGAGATTTTATGTCATATATGTTTTTATTATTAGTATCTGGCTCCAGATCAACAAAGAAAATTGAAAGCGGGTTTTTCGTTATTCTGCTTTTAACATTTGCAATATTTCTTACTTTATGTCCTAAATTCTCTATTTCCTTTTGGAGCAAATCGGTTGGTGTTGAAAAATGCAGGTTTTTAACTACTACTCTATAAGCTCTTTCCTGTTTTAATTGGTATGTGTGGAACTTTATTTTTTTTTGATCAAGATACTTTACTAAAAGTCTATATGAATCGACGGATTTTACCATTAATCGAATTTGGCCGTCTTTTAAAGATTTATATGTAAAATCTTCTGATTTGATTACCTTTAAAAAATTGTTTATCATACTTTTAATGTCTGCAACGTCGGGAATGAATATTGGAGGTGGTTTTGGTACAGAATCGTGGTTGTTGTTTTGATCATCATCATCATTATTATCATTATCATCATCATTATTATTATTTGTAAGTAATTTAAACATATTACCACTGGTGCATGGATCATTTGTTGTTGCTATTCGTTTGCGTTGAATTTTTGGCGATTCTGTATTAGGTCTTTTTCTTGTATTGACTACCTGCCAGTTGTCAGTGTCACTAGAATCAGTTTCTTCGCTATCACTGCCCATACTGCAAGCAGTGATAAGCTATATTGTTGTTTTTTTTTTTGTTTACACTGTTTTGTTTGTTTATTAAAGAATTTACAAAAGAATTTACTTTTGTTGTTGATTTTTACACACAAGTATGCAAAATAATTGTTTTTGAATAACTAAATTGTTTTTGATATTTTTTTTTTTTTATTTGAAGAAAGGTTTAACACAATATATGTATGTACGTCTACACTATGTCACGGTCAAAGAAAGACTCAAATATTCATTTAAACATATGTTTCTGTGAGATTGTCTCATCTAAACTTTAGTAATTAATAGTGTATTTTTAACAACTAAACTTGGAAAGTAATTTAATAATAAATTAGTAGTTTCTATACTTAGTTTGTTTGTTAGTGTATAATAAAACGTTGTTTGTTACATTTGAATCAACTAAATAATTCAGTGATGATTAATGAAGTGTTGTATTTATTCATTTAGTTTTGTACGTTTAATTATAGAAATTTCTAATTGTTTATATATACAGTTTACGCTTTTATTTATTGAGCCATAAGAAACAGATTTATATAATTATTGTAAGCCACTAATGTTTTGGCTTTCAAATGCTGTTAGTGTTTTTGGCATTTCCAAAAATAGGTTCTAACAGTGTTATTATTTTTATATATTTTCAATAATGATTAAGCAGATAATATATTTCTTATTAGACTTTAAATTTACTTATATCCACCATCAAACAAGATTATATTGATTTTGCCATTCCGTTTGTAACACATCGAAATATTGGTCATAGACCCATAAAAGTATATATATTCTGGGCCTTTATTAAATTCGAAGACAATCTAGCCATGTCCGTCCGTCTGTCTGTCTGTTGAAATCACGATAGGGACCACACGGGAGGAGCTAGACAGTTAAAATTTTGCACAATATTGCTAAGGTTTGTTTGGTATTAAAAATGGGCAATATCGGTCCACTTTTTTGGTTAGCCCCCATACATATGGACCTCCAAAAAACAGCTTTAATGGGCATAATTGCTTTAGGAATACTATTATAGCTATGAAATTCGGCATAAATTAATTTTCATATGAGCCCAAATCTTTTTACCAAATTTTTTGAGGTTCGATCCTTACTTGACCCTACCCCCCATATAAGGTTCCCTTTAGAAAATGATTTTAACACTCATTACTGGCCTAAAAATTCGAGTATAGCGATGAAATTCAGTATAAGTAAGTTTCTTAAGACCAAAATCTCTGTACCAATGTTTTTTTTTAGGATCGGCCCATAAATGACCCTACCCCCATATAAGGTTCCCTTCAGAAAATGACTTTAACACTCATTACTGGCCTAAAAAGTCGAGTATAGCGATGAAATTTTTTTTTTTTTGATCGGCTCATAAATGACCGTACTCCTCTTCTGAAAATGACTTTAACGATCGTTACTCAAAAATATGAATATAGTGATGAAATTCGATACAAATAAGTTTTATGCGAGCCAAAATCTCTCTATCAAATTTAGTGAGGATCGGTCCATAATTGACCATACCGCCTATACAAGGTCCCCTTCAGAAAATCACTTTAACGCTCATTACTGGCTTAAAAATATGAATATAGCAATAACATTTTACACAATTAAGTTCCTCACCAGCCAAAATCTCTTTACCAACTTTTATGTGAAAATGGCTTTAACGCTGCGACACACGTAAGTTTCTTACGAGCCAAAACCTCTATAAAATCGACATAAAAAAGTGTATACTTAGAAACATAATAACTGACCCTAACTAATATTTTGTTAGTTCAAAAGAGCTCGGTCCATAATTGACTTAAGCCATATTCCAAATATCACCCTGATGTTTATAGGGAAGCATTCCTTGTACGGCATACGGTTTGATGGTGGGTATATGAGATTCGGTACAGCCGAATATAACACTCTCACTTGTTAGTAATGACAATACTTTCATTAAAATTGTTAAATTGTAAGAAGTTTCCACTTTTATTTATACACACATTCATAATTTGTTACTCGTAAGTACATGAATGAGAATCTAAACATAATTCAATTAACTCACTTTACAGTACGTATGATAATTATTTATATTTATTCAATTCGTTACATTAATATCACTCATACGCACAAAAAATGTTTTGTATTTGTAATAGGTTTTTTGTTTAAATCGGGTTTTTCTATAAATATTGATTCAGAGTTTTAACTTAATTACTTAATAGGCGAATGAATTTAAATATAAATTACTCGATAACACATTAATTCGCCAAAAAGTTCGGGAGGCTCATATACGTACTAATTATATTTCGTTTAACTTACCTTTTAAAAGCAAATGATCAAAATATATGAAAAGGTATTTTAACAATTAATTTGAAATGTTTGTATTTCTTTAATGTTCTCGATTTAAATCCTTAATAACTTACCATTTGTTTTTCACGTTTTAAATAAAAATACTTTGTTCTGTAAATGTTTATTTTCTTTTTATTTAATATCAGTACCTAAGTCTATCTTTCCCAATGATTATTAAATTTTATACATGATATTTATAGCACTTCTTCCGTTACTGTTTAACTACCGCGAAAATCGCTTAATATTTGATGATAAATTTGGTGATGGTAAAGGTTAACCCCAAAATAAAATAGAAAATGATAAAGCCGAGGGTGTAAAAAGACTTAAAACATCATAAATCTCGGCCACGTCACGATAGCGTATAGGGATCTGTAAGATAGTTAAAAATAATAATGAATTAATAACTAATAAATGATTCATCCTGATTTATAAAATACTAGTTTTAGGGCCTTATTCATAACAATTCATAACAAAGGTTTATAAGACAATTTTTCATACAAAATTTGTTCTATAAATCTTTGATAAGTTGTTATGAATAAGTCAATTATTCTTTATTACTACTATTTTTTACAGTAACCACTTCTAAATCGTATAGTTTATAGTCCCAATTAGTTAATAGTATGAACAATAGTCGAGTGTATAGTCGAGTGTGTAGCTACTCTGTATTTTTATTTAATTTAATCCGTTTATTGATAAATAATTTTTTGTTGAATAGTAATCGAATAGTCTTGTCTGTAGTCATTACTCTTGTCTAGGCCATAGCCTGGACTTTGACCTGTTGTATATACTATAGTCTGGACTATAAATTAGTGTTTAATCTAGCCTCTTGTCTAATAAAAATTATAGTCTATTTTAACATTAGGGCTATAATCAAGTCTATAGTCTAATGTAATCTAAAGTCTTGTTTATTTTATAGACTCTAATCTCCAGCGTCTTTAACCCGAAAAAGGTTTTGATTTAGTGTATATACAAATTTTAGTTCATATAAACCTCTGTACTGTTCATAAATGTGTAGTTCATTAAAATATCTCGATATATTTTAAACTATAACCTATGCGTATGAGTGATATCCACATTTGTTACAATGAAGTCATATCACTCATACGTTCTTTATTAAAACTTTCTCATACTTTATTTGTTTTTAGTTCTCAGAAAAAACCACAAAAAAACACTTTTAAATTTATCTACTTTATTTTCTTATAAAAGCTTCTTTTGAGAGGAAAGAAAAAATAAATAATATTAAACAATATATATATAACCTAATGGTCAAGCTAAATGTTGGTCTAAATGAAAAACTATACGAACACATTGTGGGAAGAAAAAAACACAAGCACTTAAAAACTTTCATCTACTAACACACTCATAAATGCATATAGGAAAAAAGCCTTCAAACTAAAAAAGCCTTCAAAAAAATATTACAAACAAGCCACTACCTCAATTCTAACAGGAAAGATAAACAATAGGTTTTAAAATTGTGTGGAAATTTAAAGTTTTTTGTGTTTTTTACTTGAAAAATAAACAATTTTTTAAATAAATGATCACTTATATAAACAAAACAGATAATTGAACTAAATTTATACAGACTTCTGCTAAATATATAAAAAATAAGAGAAGGAACAATAAAAAGAAAACAAGATTTGTTTAATTTAATAAAAATTTTAAGTAGAAAGCCAAGTATTTTTTTTTTTTAATTTTTATTTTTTTCTCTTCTACATCCTGTTTTAAGGTTTTTCTTTTAGGTCATTAAAAGTTATGAACAAATCATTATTTTGATCTCTATTTAGA